ACCAGAATCCCTGCTGCCCGCCTGATTCAGAACCACAGGAAACATTTCCTGGAGAAATCATTTCTGCACCAAATATGATCTTCTGTTGTATCACATTCGGATTTCATGCAATAAAATGCAAAGAAATGTGAATTAAAACATAATTTTGTAGATTTTTCGGTCAGATTCTGAAGCGGACCTGAGATGAAACTCAGTTAGAAAGTTAAAAGCAGCTGCAGCTTCAGGATCGAGTCGTTTAAGCAGATGAAACGATTCCAGGTGCAAAACGTCTCCATGTTGAACATTTCCAGTTCTCTGTGAAATGATAGAGCCTAGAAAACCATTCCTCCCTCTTTTTCCTCGTTCGTTGCTTTTAAAGTCAATTATGATAAAAAGTTTTTCAACAACAAACAGTTGAAGACTGATTCACTTTAAGGCTGAATATTAATACAGTTTCTGCTTTTATGTGAAAAAGTTTTCATCAGTTTTTATTTCATTTCTAAAGGTTTTTATAAAATTCTTAGTTGCATTTTGTTTACGATTTATTTGTAATGATAGAGTCTTAACATGAATAGTTTTTATAGGCAGCTTTAATCCAGGCCTGGTTCTACTGATGATTCCCAGTTCAGTCAGATTCCAGTCTGACTGGTCGGCACTGGGACCAGTACAGCTGACTGGTCTGTTTCCAAACCCAGCAGATAAAACCATCATGATCCTCGGCTGAAGGTTCTGATCGGAACGTAACCAAAGTCCAAAGAGCAGAACCAGTAACTCCATTATGACTTAGACTTAGACTTAGACTTAGACTTGACTTTATTGATCCCTTGGGAAGACTCCCTCAGGAAATTATAGTTACCAGCAGCTCACAGGCAAAAATGTGGCACACAGTAAGCATACACAAAATACAAAAAAATACAAATTAATACAAAACAAAGAATATAAATACAACACAAAAGGAAATTATAGCAATTTGGTGGATAGATTGACCAGTGATATGGTATTGCACTGTATGGTTTGGCCTGATAAATATGGAGTTCATTTGTAGAAAAACTACTCCTTCTTCCCTCTGTCCTGTGTCACCTCCGACCCCCCAGTGAGGAGTTGTACAGTCTGAAGGCGTGGGACAAAGGAGTTTCTTGAATCTATTGGTCCGGCACTTGGGAAGCAGCAGTCTGTCACTGAACAGGCTCCTCTGGCTGCTGATGACGGCGTGTAGAGAGTGGCTGCTATCGTCCATGATGTCCAGCAGTTTGTTCAGTGTCCTCGCCTCTGCCACCGTCACCAGAGAGTCCAGCTTCATGCCGACCACAGAGCCGGCACGCCTGATCAGTTTGTCCAGTCTGGACGTGTCCTTCTTGGATGTGCTGCCTCCTCAGCACACCACGGTGTAGAAGAGGACACTGGATCACTGACTGGTAGAACATCCACAGCAGTTTGCTGCAGATGTTAAAGGACCGCAGTCTCCTCAGGAAGTACATCCTGCTCTGCACCTTCCCGTACAGGTGGCTGGTGTGTTTTGACCAATCCAGTTTACTGTCCAGCCACAGCCCGAGGTACTTGTAGGAGCCCACGACCTCAACCTCCGTTCCCTCTAGTACGACTGGTCTCGGCTTTGGTCTGGACCTCCCAAAGTCTATAACCAGCTCCTTCGTCTTAGAGGTGTTGAGTTCCAGGTGGTTTGTGTGGCACCAGAGAGCAAAGTCCCTCACCAGACAGCGATATTCCTCCTCTCCGTCGTCCCTGATACATCCGACTATGGCTGTGTCATCAGCATACTTCTGTATGTGACACAGCTCCGAGTTGTAGTGAAGTCAGAGGAGTACAGGGTGAAGAGAAGAGGGGCCAGCACTGTGCCCTGAGGGGCTCCTGTGCTGCTGACCACAGTGTCAGACACGGTGTCCTTTAGCCTGACATACTGCGGCCTGTTGGTGAGGTAACTATGGATCCAGGTGACCAGGTGCTGGTCCACTCCCATGCTATTTAGTTTGTCCTGGAGCAGAAGGGCTGGATTGTATTAAAGGCACTGGAGAAGTCCAAGAAAGGATCCTCACTGTGCCACTGCCCTTATCCAGGTGGGAGTGGGCCCGGTGCAGCAGGTAGAGGATGGCATCCTCCACACCAACATCTGCCTGGTAGGCGAATTGCAGGAGGTCCTGAGCATGTTCCACCTGAGGTCTGAGGAGGCCGAGGAAGAGCCGCTCCAACGTCTTCATCAGGTGTGAAGTGAGTGCCACGGGCCGAAAGTCATTCAGCTCGCTGGGCCTGTTCTTCTTGGGCACTGGGACGATGCAGGATGTCTTCCAGAGGGTGGGCACTTCCCTTAGCTGCAGGCTGAGGTTGAAGATCCGCTGTAGTGGCTCTCCCAGTTCAGCAGCGCAGGTCTTCAGCAGCCTTGGACACACCTGGTCCGGCCCTGCTGCTTTCCTGGGCTTGAGCTTCCTCAGCTGTTCTCTGACCTGGTCTGTGGTGATGTGGGGTGGAGGTTGTGCTGAGGTGTGTGGGGGGTTGTCAGTGTTTTGTTGTCTGTGGGGAGGTGTGTGGTAAGGAGCAGAGGTGGCTGCAGTGAGAGAGGGGTTGGGAGGGCACAGACTGGTTGAACCTGTTGAAGAAGTTGTTCAGTTGGTTTGCCCTCTCCATTGTTCCCTCAACGACTCTGGTCTTTGTGTTGAGGCCAGTGATGGTCCTCACACCTTCCCAGACCTCCCTCATGTTGTTTCTCTCTCAGCTTCTGCTCCACCTTTCTCCTGTAGCTGTCTTTTGCTTCCCTCACACACTGCTTCACCTCCTGCTGTGCTGCCTTCATGGCCTCCCTGTCTCCTGAACCAGTATCTCCATTATGACTGAACCAGTCAGAGGCTGATAAGGTGTGAGTGTGCTCAGGTGTGGCGTTGGCACAGCAACGGGAACAAATTGGGTGTGTCTGTGTGTGTGTGTGTGTGTGTGTGTGTGAGGTTCAGGGTGTGTGTGTGTGTGTGTGTGTGTGAGGTTCAGGGTGTGTGTGTGTGTGTGTGTGGTTCAGGGTGTGTGTGTGTGTGTGTGTGTGTGGGGGTCAGGGTGTGTGTGTGTGTGTGTGTGTGTGTGTGTGTGGGGGTCAGGGTGTGTGTGTGTGTGTGTGTGTGTGGGGGTCAGGGTGTGTGTGTGTATGTGTATGTGTGTGTGTGTGTGTGTGTGTGTGTGGTTCAGGTGTGTGTGTGTGTGTGTGTGTGTGGGGGTCAGGGTGTGTGTGTGTATGTGTATGTGTGTGTGTGTGTGTGTGTGTGTGTGTGTGGTTCAGGGTGTGTGTGTGTGTGTGTGTGTGTGTGTGATTCAGGGTGTGTGTGTGTGTGTGTGTGGTTCAGGGTGTGTGTGTGTGTGTGTGAGGTTCAGGGTGTGTGTGTGTGTGTGTGTGTGTGGTTCAGGGTGTGTGTGTGTGTGTGTGTGTGAGGTTCAGGGTGTGTGTGTGTGTGTGTGTGTGTGTGTGTGTGGTGTGTGTGTGTGTGTTGTGTGTGTGAGGTTCAGGGTGTGGTGTGTGTGTGGTTCAGGGTGTGTGTGTGTGTGTGTGTGTGGTTCAGGGTGTGTGTGTGTGTGTGTGTGTGTGTGTGTGTGTGTGTGTGTGTGTGTGAGGTTCAGGGTGTGTGTGTGTGTGTGTGTGTGAGGTTCAGGTGTGTGTGTGTGGTGTGTGTGTGTGTGTGTGTTGGTGGTGTGTGTGGTTCTGGGTGTGTGGTGTGTGTGTGTGGTGTGTGTGGTTCAGTGTGTGTGTGTGTGTGGTGTGTGTGTGTGTATGTGTATGTGTGTGTGTGTTCAGGGTGTGTGTGTGTGTGTTTGTGTGTGTGTGTGTGTGTGGTTCAGGGTGTGTGTGTGTGTGTGTGTGTGTGTGTGGTTCAGGGTGTGTGTGTGTGTGGTTCAGGGTGTGTGTGTGTGGTGTGTGTGTGTGTGTTCAGGTGTGTGTGTGTGTGTGGTGTGTGTGTGTGTGTGAGGTTCAGGGTGTGTGTGTGTGTGTGGGTTCAGGGTGTGTGTGTGTGTGAGGTTCAGGTGTGTGTGTGTGTGTGTGTGGTTCAGGGTGTGTGTGTGTGTGTGTGTGGTTCAGGGTGTGTGTGTGTGTGTGTGTGTGTGTGTGTGTGTTGTGTGTGTGTGTGTGTGTGTGTGTGTGTGTGAGGTTCAGGGTGTGTGTGTGTGTGTGTGTGTGAGGTTCAGGGTGTGTGTGTGTGTCTGTGTGTGTGAGGTTCAGGGTGTGTGTGTGTGTGTGTGTGTGTGTGTGTGTGGTTCAGGGTGTGTGTGTGTGTGTGTGTGTGTGTGAGGTTCAGGGTGTGTGTGTGTGTGTGTGTGTGTGTGTGTGTGTGTGTGTGTGTGTGTGTGTGTGTGTGTGTGTGGTGTGTGTGTGTGTGTGTGAGGTTCAGGGTGTGTCTCTGCCTTCGTCGCCTCAGGAAACATTTACAGATGAAAACATTTTGTGCTGCAGGGAGGAAAAATTACAACTTCGACCAAATCAAACAGGTTTAGATTGTTTTTAATTTCTGTGATGAAAACACAGTCAGATCAGGACCTGAATGGGTCGGAACCGGGTCAGAACCAGGATTTTTTATTGACAATTCTTGATATTTTTCATTTATTTCTCTCATATTTTGTGATTTTATGTCAGTTTGTCCTGATTTCTTGGAGACATTTCTACCTTCAGAGATCCTGCAGAATGTGGATTAACAGATTATAACAGATTATAACAGATTGGGCATAAATGATGAGATTATTTTATTCTGGATTCTGCTGCTAGGATCTGATCTTTCTGCATGTTTACATCTGTCTGTCTGACAGAGACGTTATTGTCCAGCTCTCTGAGACGTCTCCTGTCTGTCTGTCCCTCAGCCCCCCTGTCTTCCTGTCTGTCCTCCTGTCTGTCCCTCAGCCCCCCTGTCCTCCTGTCTGTCCCTCAGCCCCCCTGTCCTCCTGTCTGTCCCTCAGCCCCCCTGTCTGTCCCTCAGCCCCCCTGTCCTCCTGTCTGTCCTCCTGTCTGTCCCTCAGCCCATCATTTCCTCTGACTGTCAGTGAGTCAGTCGGTGACTCAGAGGCGGCAGAATGTGCAGCGTGCTCAGACCTGCTGCAGGACGGCAGAGCGGTTAAAACCCGGCGCTCGTTCAGGAACCAGAACATTCTGCTCAGCTGATTCTGGATCCGACGACATGGAGAGCTGCTGGGTTTCGCTCTGCGTGGTTCTGGTCGCTGTGGGCTCGGTCCGGACCACCTACACCTCCTACTGTGAGTAACTGGACTTGGTTCTGATGCTTCTTTTTCGCTGAAGCATCAGAAACTTTCTGCATATCATCGTTTCCTCTCAGTGAACCGGGAACCAGACTGCAAGGTTCTGTTCAGTCTGGTTCTGTTCAGTCTGGTTCTGTTCAGTCTGGTTCTGTTCAGTCTGGTTCTGTTCAGTTTGGTTCTGTTCAGTCTGGTTCTGTTCAGTCTGGTTCTGTTCAGTCTGGTTCTGTTCAGTCTGGTTCTGTTCAGTCTGGTTCTGTTCAGTTTGGTTCTGTTCAGTCTGGTTCTGTTCAGTCTGGTTCTGTTCGGGTCTGGTTCTGTTCAGTTTGGTTCTGTTCGGTCTGGTTCTGTTCGGTCTGGTTCTGTTTGGTCTGGTTCTGTTCAGTCTGGTTCTGTTCAGTTTGGTTCTGTTCGGTCTGGTTCTGTTCGGTCTGGTTCTGTTCTGTCTGGTTCTGTTCGGTCTGGTTCTGTTCGGTCTGGTTCTGTTCGGTCTGGTTCTGTTCAGTCTGGTTCTGTTCAGTCTGGTTCTGTTCGGTCTGGTTCTGTTCGGTCTGGTTCTGTTCGGTCTGGTTCTGTTCAGTCTGGTTCTGTTCATTTTGGTTCTGTTCAGTCTGGTTCTGTTCAGTCTGGTTCTGTTCAGTTTGGTTCCGTTCGGTGTCAGTATCAGTGCAGGTTAGAACAGTGTGGTTCAGTGATCCAGAACCAGAACCAGAACCAGAAGGAACCTCCTGCCTGTTGGGTTTTGACTTCTGGACCAGAGAACAGTCTGTGGTTCTGGTGCTGAAGTGAAGCACCAGAACCGATCGGGTCGGATGGATTTGTTGATCCAGACGAGTTCTGATCCTAGAAGATGATTTTATTGGACAGCGCCAGAACCCGGTTCTCATGTTTGGACCTTGTTTTGGGTTTAGAACCGGTTCCGGTTCCCTTTTGGGCTCCGTGTCATCATGATGAAGGTTCTGGTTCTGAATGGACTTCAGGCCAACATGGACACACCTGAATCAGGCGTAACATTATGACCAGGTAGTCATAATGCGACCCATAATGTAACGTTTTAAAGAAATGAACTGCTGGACGATGTTTGGTTGGTTCTGAGTCGGATCAGACGGCAGAACCAGAACCCAGAGGTCCGGACGGTCATAATGTTACGCCTGATGTTTGAATGTTTCTGTAAAAACATCAGAATAAAACTTCCTGTTCAGATGGAAGCAGGTCCAGAACAGAACCATCTGAACAGAACCAGCTGAACAGAACAGCTGAACAGAACCATCTGAACAGAACCAGCTGAACAGAACCAGCTGAACAGAACATTTCTGTTCTACTGAAAATGGGACGAAGGGAAGAAATGAGAAGAGAAGCAGATCCAGCAGATCCAGCAGATCCAGCAGGATCTTGTCCTCGGATGCCGCCGCTCTGCTGCAGGAGGGAGACGCCCAGCGGGGGGCAGAACTGAGCGGGGGGCAAACAGACACGCAGGGTGAGGCCCGTCTGCCCCGTCTGCCCCGCCTTCGCCTCGGGACACAGAGTCTGAAGACGCAGCAGAGAAAAATCCAGAAGGATCTGTCCACACACGACCGGGAAAAACAAACAGAACCTCAGAGGAGAGCTGAGGTTCTGCTCCGACCCGATCCAGGTTCTGAGGTTCTGCTCCGACCCGATCCAGGTTCTGAGGTTCTGCTCCGACCCGATCCAGGTTCTGAGGTTCTGCTCCGACCCGATCCAGGTTCTGAGGTTCTGCTCCGACCCGATCCAGGTTCTGAGGTTCTGCTCCGACCCGATCCAGGTTCTGAGGTTCTGCTCCGACCCGATCCAGGTTCTGAGGTTCTGCTCCGACCCGATCCAGGTTCTGAGGTTCTGCTCCGACCCGATCCAGGTCTGAGGTTCTGCTCCGACCCGATCCAGGTTCTGAGGTTCTGCTCCGACCCGATCCAGGTTCTGAGGTTCTGCTCCGACCCGATCCAGGTTCTGAGGTTCTGCTCCGACCTGATCCAGGTTCTGAGGTTCTGCTCCGACCCAATTCAGGTTCTGAGGTTCTGCTCCGACCCGATCCAACAGCACCGGGTTTAACAACAAGAAGAACCCAGAGAGCTTCAGCTGGTGGAACCAGATGTACCAGCTGGTTCTGGTCCAGTGAAGCTTTCATTTCCTGGACCAGAACCATTTCGAACAGCCGGGTCCAGAACGATCCATATTTTGGTTTTGATCATCATAATGAGCTGGTTAAACTGACCAGCTTTTCTCATTTTAATGACAAAAACTGGTTGGACTGAAAATCTGCTAAAGATCATAAAACAGGATCAGTTTATAGATTATTGATCGGTTTTATTGACCTTTGAAACAAATTAATAATCATTCATTTTCTCCTCAGTGACAATAAAAATCTGTTTCTGCTGGGATTTGATGATCGAGGCTCTTTACCATCACCCTAATCTTTAGCTCCCTCCTAAGATTATCCATCACATCCAGGTCAAGACTTGAACTAGGCCACTTTAGTGGAGATTCTGAGTTTCTCAGCAGAAACATCAGAGAATAATCCGGGATTAAAACCTGATGAGGGGAAATATTTAATCTGACATCAGAATGAAACGTTTCAGAGGGAAAAACCGATAAACAATGAAACCAGGATCTGTTTTCAGATTCCTGCTCCGGGTTTCTCACCCGGCCGATTTCCTCTGTTTGCTCCCGAAAGGAAAACAGAGAAAACTGAAAACTTTCCTTCATCATCAGGAGCAAAAAATCGAAATAAAAATCTGGAAAATTAAAGTTTCATCTGCAGAAAAGATGGAGATGAAAAATATTCAGCAGCTGGAAAAATTTTTCTCTGAATATAATCAAATTGTGGCTGCAGTAATGGTTGCCATGTTGCTGCGTTGCCATGTTGCTGCGTTGCCACGTTGCTGCGTTGCCATGTTTCTTCCTGCGTTGTTCCCTCAGCAGGTGAATCAGAAACAGTCGGTGATAAATTCTCAGACCGTCTCGTCTGGACTCTGGAAGAGTCTCGACTGAAAGACATTCCTGAGTTCAAGAATCTTGACGTCGCCTGATCAGAACCGTCAGGCGGCGGTTCTGATCCGTTCGGTCAGCTGAGTCACAGACTGACCTCAGACAGACACACCTGAACCTGACGCCTCTGAGTCAGAACCTCATTCATTCCTCAGAGCCTCATTCATTCCTCAGAACCTCATTCATTCCTCAGAGCCTCATTCATTCATCAGAACCTCATTCATTCATCAGAACCTCATTCCTCAGAACCTCATTCATTCCTCAGAGCCTCATTCATTCCTCAGAGCCTCATTCATTCCTCAGAACCTCATTCATTCATCAGAACCTCATTCATTCATCAGAACCTCATTCATTCCTCAGAACCTCATTCATTCATCAGAACCTCATTCCTCAGAACCAGCACAATGAATAAAACTTTCTGTTTATTCTGTGAATAAAAAGTAAAACATTTTAAAATTTGGACCCAGAAGTGGAGAGTTTGGATAAAAGTTCTCAGGATTCCAGATTAAAGGTCCAGTTCGTCAACCTGCTGGTTCCTATGAATCAATATTAAATGGGTTTTATTGATAATAATGCATTTAATGGTTTAGGTTGTAGTCGATTCTGGATGGCGAAATAAAATAAACATTTATCTCTTTAAAGAGAAACATGATGTAAAGGGGTCAGAGGTCAACCTGCTGGTTTTATAATCCTGATTTATCAGAACATTTTCATCAGTTAAATATTTATTTTTCAGATTAGAGCAGATTACAGCTGAAGATCTTCCATCAATCATCTGAAATTGGTCATAATTTGAAATATATATATATTTTTTATTTCCTGATCATAATTTCCAGTTTTTCTTTCATGCTGAAAACTGTAAATGTTGAATTCATTTCTCTGGTTGTGACCTGGTTTTTATTTTAGTTCCTGAAGCTTTTTGAAAGTTTTTATTTGTGTTTTTCTGCTGAACTCGTGAAGCTTCATGTCGTCAGTCCGGTTTGCTGCTGAACGCTGTCAATGTGAGGAGATCAGTGAACTCTGAGCGTTTCATCTGAACATCCAGTTCTGTGTTTTCAGATCAGACGATTTTCTCTGTCAGCAACCATGTTGGTGTCACTGGTTTCCAGTTCAGGGAAGAAAAAGAGCTGAAGGCAGAGAAAGACACTGAAGCTGCAGCGCAAGAAGAAACTAATGTAACATTTTTAACTCAGTTTGATGGAGAAAAGGACAGAAATAAAGGCTAAATACTAAATATATGTTTTACTTGGGTAACAAAATGAACCTCGGGTCGGGTTCAGGTCGGGTTGGGGATCAGGTCGGGTTCAGGTCGGGTTCAGGTCGGGTTGGGGTTCAGGTCGGGTTGGGGATCAGGTTGGGTTAGGGTTGGGGATCAGGTCGGGTTCAGGTCGGGTTAGGGTTGGGTTGGGGTTCAGGTCGGGTTAGGGTCGGGTTGGGGTTCAGGTCGGGTTAGGGTCGGGTTGGGGTTCAGGTAGGGTTAGGGTCGGGTTGGGGTTCAGGTCGGGTTAGGGTCGGGTTGGGGTTCAGGTCGGGTTAGGGTCGGGTTGGGGTTCAGGTCGGGTTGGGGTTCAGGTCGGGTTAGGGTTGGGTTCAGTGATTAGAGAAGCAGAAATGTTGGTTGTTGTGCAGAAACTGAAACAGATGAAGCAGCAGATGAGTTTTATTGGACAGAATGATGCGTTTAGGAGACCAAACCTCTGTGGGAAAAACAGTAAATTTACTTCCTGTAGAAGAAAAAGATGAAAAGTTTGTTTGACTGAGGAGCCTCATGATCATCAAAAAGAAGTTTTCATTTCTCTGATAAGGTTTCAGTTCTTTCCTCTGATGAAGCTCCTGATAGTTTTCTAAAGTTTCCTCTCGTCTCCGTCCTGCAGCTGATCTGCGCTGTGAGTGCAGCGGCCGGGCGCGGCTCTGCCTGCGGGACGCTTGGGGTCTGCGCTGCCTGGACTGTCAGGGAAACACTGAGGGTCGACACTGCGAGCGCTGCAAGGACGGATTCTACCAGCAGGGGGCGCGGCTGAGCTGCACGCCCTGCGGCTGCAGCCCTGCAGGTGAGGACGCGCCTGTTCGCATGACGTCATGAAGTCAGAAAAGGTCTGAGCGGTTTTCTCTCTGCAGGTTCTGTTAGCAACACGTGTGACAGCAGGGGGCGCTGCAGCTGTAAGGAAGGCGTCTCTGGAGACAAATGTGACCTTTGCCCCGACGGCCCTGTGGGGGCGGACGGCTGCAGCAGGAGGTGAGGTCATCATCTGATAGCAGCTGTTTATTGTGACGTTTCAGATTCAGATGCTTTCAGAACGTTAAATTGTTTTAATGCTCAAAAACTCAAAAACATCGAAGCTTAAACTAGTTAATGTTTTTGCTTCTGTGTTGTTGTAAATCTTCTGATGTATAATTAGAAGTTTTTGGATTCTTATAATAAATCAACTTCCTAAAAGTTTGAATAATCAGCAGAAAAATAAGCAGCAGGTTAAAGAAAGGAACAGGATCTGCTGCCAGAAATCTCACTAAATGTTTCAGGAAATTTCGTTTCAGACGTTTTGCCGGTTTGTGTTTCATCGTTTCCTGTCAGTCGCAGTTTTTCTGTTTCACCTCAAACTTCCTGCTGGTTGTTTCCAGGCGCCGGGAAACAGAGGATTCTGGGAGTTTGAGTCTGCCGTGTTTCTGTTACGGACACAGTGAGCGATGTTCCGCTCAGCCTGGTTTCTCCGTCCACAACATCTCCTCCACCTTCAGCTCAGGTAACAGGAACAGAACCCGGTCGCCGGTGGTTCTGTCCGGGTGGTTCTGCTCCAGCTAAAGCAACCTGCCGGGTTTCAGGTCCAGACGGCTGGACGGCGGCGACGGCCCAGCGTACGACTGCTCAGAACGTTCTGTTCCGCTGGTCGCCCAGACACCAGGACCTAGAGGTGGTCTCCAAACAGAGCCCGCCCACTTACCTGTACGCGCCAGGTGAGACGAGCTCCGCCTCCCCGTGTCCGTCAGCTTTGCCTCCTCTGACCCGTTTCCCGCCCTGCAGAGGTTTACCTGGGGAACAAGCTGCTGAGTTACGGCCAGAACCTGTCCTTCTCGCTGCGTTTGGACCGCGGCGTTCGCCACCCGTCCACCAGCGACGTGGTCCTGGAGGGCGGCGGCCTGACGGTGGCGGCGGCGCTGGGGGACCTGAGGGCCGTCGTCCCCTGTGGGAAGAAGATCCACTACAGCTTCAGGTCAGGAAATGACATCACTCTGATCCGTTTAACGCCTCGTTAGCTTCCTGACGTCTCCAACATGAACCCCGGATGAACAACGATCCAGAGAAGAAAAACATTCCTGAGTTCAGAAATCCTGACGGTTCGACCTGCAGAAACACAGAAACTAAAGTTTAATAAAGATTTAAACTTTACTCCATGAAGACATGCTTTAGGAAACATGAACACATGAACATGAACACATGAAGAACATGAATACATGGACATGAAGACATGAACATGAAGACATGAAGACATGAACACATGAATACATGAAGACATGCTTTAGGAAACATGAACACATGAACATGAACACATGAAGAACATGAATACATGGACATGAAGACATGAACATAAAGACATGAACACATGAAGACATGCTTTAGGAAACATGAACACATGAAGACATGAACACATGAACACATGAACACATGAATACATGAACACATGAATACATGAACACATGAATACATGAACACATGAACACATGAACACATGAATACATGAACACATGAACACATGAACACATGAAGACGGCTCTCTGTCTCTTTCTGCAGGTTGACTTCTCACCTGAACGTTTCTGCAGAATTTGTTTCTCAGGTTTTCTGTTTCCTGACAGGTTGGATGAAAAACCCGGCAGCAGCTGGAATCCTCAACTTTCCTCATTGGATTTCCAGAAGCTTCTCCAGAACCTGACGGCCATAAAGATCCGGGCCACGTTTGGACCGGACGGTGAGACGGTTCTCATTGATTAGTGAAGCTCGTTAAACTCAGAAGTTCATCCTGATGAAATTTGAACGGATTAAAACATTTTGATGTCCAACATAATCTGTTCTGACCTTCATCTCTTGATGTTGATCTGTTTATATGCTGATGACTCTTTAATTAATGTTTCTTTTGTTCAAAGTTACAATTTGACCTGATTTCATTGTGAAACATGACAGACTATCACAGACCATCTGTTCCTGCAATGCCCATCAGAAATGGTCTATTCAAAGTAGCAGGAGAACCACGTGACACCAGGTCTTCTGTCTGCTCCCTGATTGGTCTGTTTCCTTCAGGACGCGGTTACCTTGACAATGTGAACCTGGTTTCGGCTCGGCGTGGGCCCGGCGTGGCGGCCGGATGGTCCAGACCTGCATCTGTCCTCCGGGATACGAGGGCGACTCCTGTGAGCGCTGCTCGGCCGGGTTCCGGCGCCGGACGCCGTCGGCCGGAGCCTTCGGCGCCTGCGAGCCGTGCGGCTGCCGGGGCGGCAGCTGCGACCCCCAGACCGGAGACTGCTACTCCGCCGACGAGACGGCCGGCGAGCGCGGCTGCCCGGACGGGTTCTACAGAGACCCGCGGCAGCAGACCTGTGAGCGCTGCCCCTGTCCGGAGAGGTCGTCCTGCTCCCTGGAGGCCGGAGCGCTGGAGCCTCAGTGCCTGCGCTGTCCGTCCGGAACCTTTGGTGAGTCCAGGAGGAACCCAACAGCGAGGGAACCAGCCGAACCCGCTCAGTAACGTAAAGCTTCGGCGTCTCCTCAGGGTTTTACTGCGACACCTGTCGGGAGGGATTCTATGGCGACCCCGCGGGTCTGCGAGGCGCGCAGCGACCCTGCAGATCCTGCAGCTGCAACGGAAACATCGACGTCAGCAGGGCGGGAAGCTGCGACCGGATCACCGGGGAATGTCTGCGGTGCCAGAACAACACGACCGGCCGGTTCTGTGAGAGCTGCCTGCCCGGGTTCTACCGGAACCCGTCCACCGCCTCCTGCAAACGTGAGGACAGAGTCCAGGTCCATTCAGTCAGAACCAGCCAGTCAGAACCATCCAGTCAGAACCATCCAGTCAGAACCGGCCAGTCAGAACCATCCAGTCAGAACCATCCAGTCAGAACCGGCCAGTCAGAACCATCCAGTCAGAACCGGCCAGTCAGAACCGGCCAGTCAGAACCGGCCAGTCAGAACCATCCAGTCAGAACCATCCAGTCAGAACCGGCCAGTCAGAACCGGCTCTGATCATGTTTCCCTCTCCAGCCTGCCTCTGTGACCCTCTGGGCTCAGAGGACAGACAGTGCGACCGACCGGACGGTGCCAGTGCCGACCCGGCTTCGAGGGTCCGAGGTGTGACCGGCCCAACTGCCCCACCTGCTTCACCCCCATCAGGAAGAAGGTACCTGTTCATGCAGCGCATGTTGAAGCTGCAGCGCCCCCTGCTGGGTGGAGCTGCAGTTCGTTTGATTCAGGAAGTTAAAGAAAAGATTTGATCTGCAACACAGATTAATAAACTAATGCAGATTAATAAACTAATGCAGATTAATAAACTAATGCAGGTTAATAAACTAATGCAGATTAATAAACTAATGCAGATTAATAAACTAATGCAGATTAATAAACTAATGCAGATTAATAAACTAAATCAATTTAATAAACTAATGCAGATTAATAAACTAATGCAGATTAATAAACTAATGCAGATTAATAAACTAATGCAGATTAATAAACTAATGCAGATTAATAAACTAAATCAATTTAATAAACTAATGCAGATTAATAAACTAATGCAGATTAATAAACTAATGCAGATTAATAAACTAAATCAATTTAATAAACTAATGCAGATTAATAAACTAATGCAGATTAATAAACTAATGCAGATTAATAAACTAATGCAGGTTAATAAACTAATGCAGATTAATAAACTAATGCAGGTTAATAAACTAATGCAGATTAATAAACTAATGCAGGTTAATAAACTAAATCAATTTAATAAACTAATGCAGATTAATAAACTAAATCAAAGCCTGAGGCTGGAATTAAACGCGTCACATTTTATGTTCCAATGATTCTGGAAGAAAATGTTTCTGCAGAAACAATATTTTAGTTGAAATGTTGCATTTATTTCAGTCCAACCCTGAAACATGAAAGGTTTTGAGCTGATCCTGCTCTGATCATAATCAATCATTTATTTGGTGGAATATTATAACAGCTGGACAGAAGAACTTGCTGCGACACACAGACAGAAATCTGCAGTTTTTTCTTCTTCCTGATTATATTTTATGGCTTCTTGCCTGAAAACAACAAACTGTTTTAGAGTCTGATGATGCTTTCGTTTCTGTAACCACAGATTTCATTTCAAAATATTTTCCTCTGCATTGAAAGCCAAATTTTCCAAATTTTTGTCTCAATTTTAAATTTCTATCCATATTTTTGCCTAAATGCTTCAGAGGTTTCTGTGTTTCAGCTGCGGATTGAATTTCTTCTGTTTCTCTGCTTCAGATGGAGCTTTACTCCTTCAAACTGAAGGAGCTGGAGATGCTGCTCTCCGATCCGGGTCGGGTTCCGACCAACCGGGCCGAGATTGAGGCGGCTCTGAGAGCTTTGGAGGATCTGATGAAGAACCTGCAGGACAACGCCGAGCAGCTGACGGGTCAGAACCTCCTGCTGAGCGAAAGACCATCCAGATCCAAACATCAGACATATTGATTATTTTAAAATGATTAATAAACAACCTCAGACTTTGAATTTGATCGATTTGATTAATCAAAGTTTTTATTTTTCTTCCTAAATCTATTTTTTAAATTTTTTCTTGAACAAAATTAATATAATGTAAAAGTTTGTTTTTTGTAAGTAACGTCCTAAACGCACCAAATTCATAAAAAATGTGAATAAAACATGTTAACAGGAAAAAGGTTCGTATTTCCAAGCTGAACCTTATTCAGCTGTTTTGGTTTTACTGGCCTCTAGTGGAGATTCGCGGTACTGCATGTTCATTTAGTTGTTGGTAAAATAAACCGTTTCCTGACGTCTGATTCCAACAGATCAGGAGAAGAAGCTGCAGACTCGCCTGTCGTCCATCAGCAGCCGTCAGCTGACCGACGACCAGGAGATCCAGAACATCTCAAAGACGGTCAAACACATCGACCGGCAGCAGCAGAGCTTCAGGTCAAAGGTGGAGGAGGTCGAGACGCTGATCGCTGCCATGAAAAACCTCCTGAAGGAGGCGAAAACCAAAATCCAGTCTGTGGTACGATCCGCTGACCAGGAGCAGGACGACCTGATCAGTTTCTCCTGATCAGATTTTAACGTCGTTGATGTGAAGCTGTTTCCTGTTTCCTGATGCTTTGCTTTGTTTCCTGTTAGGAGCTTCCTGCCCGTGATGACCCGCTGACCTCAGGCTCGCTGTCCTCTCTGGTGCAGCAGGCAACAGGACTGGCTGATGAGTAAGATCTGAATCCGCTTCTCCTTCATCATCATCTTCACCGCTGCTGACCTTCTGACCTTCTGTTGACCTTCTGTTGACCTTCTGTTGACCTTCTGTTGACCTTCTGACCTTCTGTTTCGCCTCCCAGACAAAAGGCGACGGCCGACTCTGTGGAGCGGACGGCCAACCAGGCTCTGAACGACTCCAAGCAGAGTCTGGATCTGGTCCGGACTCTGATCACCAAGGAGAACAAAGTCAAGGAGCTGATTGGAGATCTGCAGGATCTGTGAGTAGATCCTAAGATCCTCAGCCTGATCCACAGTGGATCCAACTCTGAACTCATCCTGAACTTCATGATGTTTAGATCCAAAACCAAACAGAACATGTAAAACCTGAACCTTCAGTCCAAAATGTTTCTGCTCTGCTGCAGCCAAGATGTTTATGATCCCAACAGATTCAGATGATCATGTGAGAATGTAGAGAACCGATCTGGAACCGATCTGGAACCGATCTGGAACCGATCTGGAACCGATCTGAAACCGATCTGGAACTGATCTGGAACCGATCTGAAACCGATCTGAAACCGATCTGGAACCGATCTGGAACCGATCTGAAACCGATCTGAAACCGATCTGAAACCGATCTGGAACCGATCTGGAACCGATCTGGAACCGATCTGAAACCGATCTGAAACAGATCTGGAACCGATCTGGAACCGATCTGCTCCTCCATCCTTTCTCCTTTTCTTCTTTGACTCGTTTTTAAGGAATAGAAATTCTAATATAAATTCTATTTTTGTTGGTTTACTGACTATAAATTTTGATTTTGTAGTCAGCTGCTCTGACTGAACACTAAACATTTGGTGGAATCTGAATTTTCTTCAATGCTGATGTTCTGGTCAGAGAAACTGGACTTTCTGAGGAGAATCTGAGTTTCTGGCTGTTTGGAGCATCTGGGATAAAAACCGTGTCATTTTCTCCTGCTGGCATCCAGATACGATAAAACCTCGGCAGATGTGAAGAGTTTGGAGAAGCGAGCAGGAAGTCAAGAGCGACGACGCCAAACAGGAGAGCAAGATGGCCGACGGCATGCTGAAAGACATTTCCACATTGGAGAGAGCTCCAGCGTCGATGAAGGTAGGAGCAGCTGCACTAGCATTAGCATAGCATTAGCGCCCACTGAAGGTCTCTGTGTGATGACGCTCAGGATGCTGTGGACGCCATGGCAACCAGGCTGGACGCCCTGAAGGACGCGGCGCAGAAGAACATGTCCGCCGTGGACGACCTGCTGGGCGCCGTGGAGGAAGACCGGACCGACGCCGAAGAGCTGCTGGATCGGGGCCGAACCGCACAACAGGTACGTACCGACCAGTCAGAACCAGCAGAGGGAACGATGACTGGAACCAGAAGTTGGTCCGGAACCAGAACCTCTGATCAGCTGGACGTTTGTCTGCAGGAGTTCAACAAGCTGCTGGACCGGGTCAACACCGCCAAAACCGAAACCGAGAAGGCTCTGCAAGGCGTCGGTACCAACAACAACCTGGATGACACCCTGAACACCCTGAAAGGTACGGACACCCGGCACCAGCAGGTGGCGCCGTGGGTTATGGTGGTGGAGCTCACCAGAACCGGGCTTCATCTGGTACCAGGAAGCTGATTGACTCCCTGTTAGAACCAGCCAGTCCTTTCCTCACTCGTCTGTCTGCGCCTCCAGGTTTCGACCAGGAGCGGCGCCAGTAAAGCTGAAGCCGATGAGGCCATCAAGCGTCTTCCGAACATCAACAGCACCATCCAGGAAGCTGTGCGTAAGAACGGCGAGGCCCAGTCGGTTCTGGACGCGGCGTCCAACGATCACGACGAGGCGATGGAAAACATCAACGCTCTGGACGACTTGACTAAAAACCTCCAGGTGAAAACAGAAGTTAGACTTTCATAAAACTGTTAAAACTGAAATTTCATTTCAAAACCTCAGCAACACCATCAGCAACTGAAGCTGAGCGCCCCCTGCAGGCCGAGCTGCAGGCTGCTTCAGGATTCACTGACTGCTTTTCTCTGGATGCTTTTTATAGTTTTCATAATTTTCTAAGAGCAAATCAAATGTTGTGATTATTGACCATAAAAATAAGCCTCACATTAGAACAGTTAGCTAAAGTTATGCTAGGCTAAAGCTATGCTGGGCTAAAGCTATGCTGGGCTAAAGCTATGCTAGGCTAAAGCTATGCTGGGCTAAAGCTATGCTAGGCTAAAGCTATGCTGGGCTAAAGCCATGCTAGGCTAAAGCTATGCTGGGCTAAAGCTATGCTAGGCTAAAGCTATGCTGGGCTAAAGCTATGCTAGGCTAAAGCTATGCTGGGCTAAAGCCATGCTAGGCTAAAGCTATGCTGGGCTAAAGCTATGCTAGGCTAAAGCTATGCTAGGTCCATCATAACTTCTGACACTGGAACATTTTACAGATTATCTTTTATACGTTAAACTATAGAAATTCTTTGTTTTGGGAACAAAGAGCTGAAGCTCAGTCTGTTTCAGCAGGTCGGCCCAAACGCTTCAACTCCAAACAGCCCAACAATCGGATCAAACATTACAGTTAACAGTTTATTAATGTTTTCATCATTCTGATCTGGGCTGTTAGCCTGAAGTTTTCCACAGAATCTCAGGAGTTTGTTTTCCTGGGAGACATTTTCTCCTCTGGGTTTCTGTAACGTGAAGTTCTGGTTCTGTCCATCAGAACGCGGCCGGGTCGCTGCCGGACGCTGACGGTTTGGTGAGCGA